GCACGCTTAGATACAAGAATAGAGGGTGCCTAGAACGCACTAGCCTCTTCAGGAACCTTCTAGATACTCATTACGTGTTACCAGTGTCACGTGACTTCCGCTGTCGTAACATTATTATCAAACAAAGATTAAATCTTTCTTCATCAACTAAAGAATTCCACTCTAAAACACCAACTACTTTAAAATAAGGAATAGAATAATTTATTTGGTCTACACCTATTACCACTACTAAAAACCTACTATTAAAAACCTTCTTGGACTACTCCAGCCATGATACTTCGATATCAAGTTACAGAATATAAATGACTAGTTCAACATAAGCTAATAAAGAAGTTGACAGACTATGATGAGAAGGAATACCAGGCTCAATTCAAACTAATTTCCAAAGTGAATGGGTGAAATAGTGAACAAAATGCTAGTCATCTTGCTGCTCATTGAAAAGGACCAACTTTGACAACATTGAATAACCTGTAAACAATCTGTAATAGCTATCAATCCTTAGTAGTTGCCTTATCCAAAAGATCTGAAGTGACACACAAGAAGAAAGTATGCAGAATATTTGTAGAATATTTGAAAGGACTTACCCAATAATCTTACCTATATACTTCTCGTGACCAATTTCTAGATGCCTTAACAGACTAGAATATGAGAATTAGGTTGAATCAAAGTAGGTGCACATCTTTAGATGAGGCTCTCTAGTTGGTGATGAAACTAGAATCCATTAAAGTTAATGATATATTATTAAAAAACTATATAGATGTTATGAGAATATCAGATCCTATAGTGTTAAAACATCAACTCCCCCTAACAATAGTCTAGAAAAATTGAAATAATTAATTAGGTTAAAAGAAAATATCACAAACTGTGTCAAGAAAGTAAATAACGTGAACCGTGTCATGAAAATAAATAACATGAGCCGCATCAAAAAAATAGATAACGCACACTGTGTCAAGAAAATAAATATCATAAAATGTGTCAAGAAAATAAATAACACGAGCCGTGTCAAGAAAATAAATATCACAAACTGTGTCAATAAAATTAATAACCTGAGCTGTGTCAATAAAATAAATAACATGAACCGTGTCCAGAAAATAAGAATCACAAGCCGTGTCAAGAAAATGAATAACATGATCGGTGTCATTAAAATAAATATCACAAATTGTGTCAATAAAATAATTTAATATCATGAGCTGTGTCAATAAAATCATTTAATAACATGAGCTGTGTCAAGAAAATAAATAACATGAACTGTGTCAAGAAAATAAATAAAATGAACAGTGTCAAGAATAAAAAATAGGCTCTTTTAAACAACTATCTTTTGTTGATCAAGGGTCCTTATCATATTTAATAGTTGTATTTAGTTTCAAAGTTATTCATAAGTATTTGTAGTATAACAAAAATAACAGAAGTATAATTAATAGGCCTATATAGGTTTTAATAATAAAAACTTTGGCTACTTTTGTTTTCCATAGCCCTAAGAGTAGGTTGCGGAATCTACCGTATCGTATAACAAGCGACACGAGTTACATTATGGTCTATGAGAGTCATTACTTTCGCTGGCAAGAAATCATAGAATATCGGTGTAATAAAAAATCCTTCAAACTACTCTATTTTGATTTGAAATGGTTTAATCTAACAGCAGTTTAAACTACACAGCATTTCAAATCTAAAACTCTCTTAAATTGTGTTCCACTTCATCTGTGTTGGATCACTCCTATTAAGCTCCAAATGGAACAAATAAATCGTTTTTCTGTAGATAGAGAATGAAACAACACAAAAACACCCAAGTTACGATTTCATGCCAATTCTAGTTGCTTGCGTAATACTGTGGGTTGAATTATAGTATGTACCTTTTTCTTATTCGATGTTGTATGCCAATAGTTACAATACTTTTCGAACGTTTCAATAGATATTCCGATACTTAATACATGCTTCACCATCTAAATTTCCATTATTACACATGTTATTTCAGAGCAGTTTTTCTCAGATACATTACATTTAGACAACAAGATCGACTTTTTATTTAT